TAAAACTGTAATTTAAGGAGGACAAACATGACCATATGGTCTTTAAATATCTCTAAGAGTGGTACTAAATCTGGGTTCCCACACACGTAATAATGTCTCGTATAACAGCGTACATGGGACCACTATCATAACTGGTGAAAAGTGGGCAGTACTTTCCACATCTTATGATCCCTGTGGGGAAAAACAGGTGGGCGTGAAATTATGGAATATAAACTTTAATATGGGATGTAACAAAAAGCTCTATATTTCAACAGAGCTGTGTTTGAACAATACTTCCGTGATAGACCTTTTAGAAGCATCAACAGTATGTAGTGACGTTACGTTGATGATAAAGATGTGATGTTACCTTTATTTTGATGGAATTTATTCTTCTTCAAGCGTGCTTTTGTTGGTATTAGCGGTTGCTAATTGCGCATTTCAGAACAAGTTGGTTAACTTGTGCTGAAATGCTATATAGTGCTAGGGTTATCTTTTCATCCACACAGAATGGACACTTGAAAACGACAGATAAATAATAAACGTATATGGACTAAAAATCGCGGGTTACTCACGTGAAAATACTGAGAAAAGCTCTGCTAGTTTACATTAATAGCCCCAGAGGCAGCCACAGCCATAGAGGAGCCGCGCCATGAGCAGCGGATATCGCCGCGCAGCGGATTCCCCCAGCTTACTACAGCCCCTTTGTGGCTCGAAACTAGTAGAGCTTTTCTCAATTTTAGTATGTCTCACGACAGTTATTATAAAAACAAACGGTTAATTATAAATCGACACCGTACAAGACGACTTATGCACACTTCAGTATAATGTAGATGTAGGTACAACAACTGTCTATAATTTACACCGTCTATATCCACATCTACTTGAGCAGCCATAAGGTAATGTTCTTCAAATGACCTGGATATAACTAGATTCTAGAACATAATACTTCGTGTTCTTTTCGTCCCTTAAACATTCAATCTGATGGTAACTAAATGCTTTGTGACGTCGATAAATGATGGCGAAACCGTTGTTTTACTATCAACCCTGCTGTATACTTTATGCGGGCTCACTTTTTATGGTTTTAGCTTTGTTACTAACTAGATTCGATTGGAATTTTATGCAAGTTAGGTACCTAGGTATTGTGTAGATTCTAGATAGGTACTCTGGGTACGTGCTTTGTTTTTTTTAATTTGTCCCACCAGCGTGACACACAAAGAGGTTAAAAAAATTAGCTGATATTAAAATTAAAGCCATCACCTAAATTACATGAAATTGTGTGTGATAAGATTTGTGATTACGACCCATCTGTTTTTAATTTGTTTTTTAAACGCTCATTCGTTTAATAAAAAGATATTATTCATTGTACAAAATTAAAATTATGTTGACACATCTTTTATTCTTTATGCTTATAAAGAATAAAAGATGTGTCAACATAATTTGGGCATTTCATAAAACCCACTTTTCAGTTCGGTCCTTCAGTTAGATGGACATGTAACATCTGCACAATTGAGGGTCTGACGTGGATAAGGCTTATATAAGATCTGACGCAATCAAAGGGACTTCCCTTTCAGATACATTCCTTTGATTGGTCAAGTATAAAGACAAGTACAAAGTAGTTGATGATAAAACATTAATTATATTTTTCCGGAGAATATTTATATCAAATTTTATACACATAGTCATATTTATAGATTATGTGTTTATATAATGTTAAATTCAATTTGCGTTAAAGTACATATGCGATGTGCTGGTAAATGGGTGAGAAATGCTAGAAGTAGCTAATTCAATGAACATAACATATTATCACGCTTTTTATTCCCGAAAGGGAGGCAGAGGTGCAATACCACTGTACAATGTAACACCCACTTTTCACTATTTGTGTTATGACTCCCATGTAATAGGGGGTGAGCCTATTGCCATATACCGGGCACAATTCCAGACTCCGTGCTACTACTGGGTTTTTTTTAAAAAGCCCATTAATACTTGCCTTACCTGGGAATTGAACCCGAGACCCCTTGCCCGGCAGTCGCACTGGCGACCACTCGGCCAACAAGGCAGTAATTCAAGTAACAATGTCTTTAAAAACTCCTTTTTCATTGGTCGAGCTAAAAACCTCAAGTAGTTTTAAATATTTTGTAAGTAAACCTCATGTTTGTTTAACATTATATTATAAGCTGCCTTAATTACTAAAAACAATTTACAGTTAGCGACACGAAAGTTTACGTAGTAGGTAAAGAAACAGTGACCAACTTTACAACAGAACGAAGTCATATTTTACGAAAACGAAAACTTCATACGAATTCAAACTGTAATAAATATTGTGTCTAACAATACTTGTAAACTACTTGACTAGAATTATCATCATAAATGAGGCAATACAGTGCCTACTGCCGTTGGTTATTTTTTATTCATGTCCTTCCATTTTGTTGTCGACGGTAAAACGATTCACTTTGAACATCGTAAATGTTGCTAGCACATGGCAATTAGGGTGTAAGTAGAACTTTCTTGCAGAATGACTATATTCCTTGATTCCTGAAATAGAATAGATTGCTCTTTAAAATAAGAATCTTTTTAAGATTAACGGTTTTGTTCTAGCAGGCGGTTGACTTAAGATACTTTTTGGTTTCTAACGTAATTTTATTTGGAAGACATAACAAGTACCTAACAACAAACTTGTTTTCTCCTTCAATTTTTATGTGAAAACCATATAGTTACATAGGTATGTTGTTTTACAAATTTTATTTAACATCGCTGCAACGCTAGGTCTTGCTCTTCGTGGACACCTATATATTTATGTATGTATTTATACCTACATATTTTATGCATATGACTATACATATATACTATTTACTATTATGTAATATATATGTATAGCTGTATTATTTAATCATTATCTTTTTCCCTCTCTCTCTGTTTACTGTTAGTTTGTTCTCCGTACCTATCTTATTTTTCGTAGATTTTCTACTTAAACCCTATGGTTGACTGGTAGAGAATGACATATGGCATTAAGTTCGCCTTATGTGCCATAATCAAATTGTGTATATTGAAGACTAAATAAATAAATAAAATATTGCTTACAATATCAACATAAAAAAATAACGATTTTATGAGATCTTGAATACACCAATAGCGCCTATGAAGAACAGAAAACACCAAGACATCGTTGTCCTCGCCGCTTATTGTACAAAGGGACGGGTAAAACATAAAGTGAATTACAGTACTGGGAAATATCATCGCTTCGTAAAGGGTAACGCTAAAAGGTTTATAATGTTCCTTTTAGGCGCTAAAGAAATAGGAAAATGGCTAGTAAATAGTTTAGGGACATAAAAGGAGAATAAAATTCTATCTTACAATCACAGCGTTCTAAAATATGATAGGACTACTGAACAAGAACAGAAATATAATAACTTGAAATCTTAACGTAACACTACCCCTTATCCCTGAAGCGATAGGCAGCGGTGTACATTACGGCACCTAATGCCACTGTACAATGTAACACCCATTTTTCACTATATATGTTATGAGTCCCATGTAATAGGGGGTGAGCCTATTGCTAAATAAAATACCGGGCACAATTCCAGACCCTGTGCTACTACTGCGATGTTTTTTAGACCGTGTAATACTTTGCTTCACCCGGGAATCGAATCTGAGACCCCTTATCTGGTAGTCGCACTTAAACCACTCGACCAACAAGGCAATCTTAAATAACGAGCAGAAAGCATAACTAAAAAATTAAAATAAGTGTCCTCCAATATTTTGTCCGCCTTCACAACAGGATCAAGAGACTTAGTTTATACAAAGGTACCTAAGTAACTACCGACGCATGATGAATATTCAACAAATATTTATTAGAGCAAGTGGGATTAGTGTTTGTACACGCCTACGACATAGAGAAAAATCATGACGTAGGAAAAGCTTTAATATCTCAGGATTCAGGAACTGTTGACTTTCAACCTTCATCATTTATTACAAGCCACGTCTACCACACATCACAGCAAAACTTTATAGACCCTAAATAAATTATACTCAGTCGTTGTTGAGAATTTGAACGCTTGCAAGTAGAGAACTATTGAAAATTTTAGTAAGGGTCGGGATACTGGCCGTTTAGCCAATACCTGAGTCGTAAATTGTCGTGACCAGCCTTCCGAAATACAAAGGAGGTCAGGTGTTATAGCTAAACAAGATAAGCCTGCGATCCACCCGTAATACCATCGAGCCAATCATCTAAGCGAATATGGTTTGCGTGCTACAAATGCAAGGAAGGTTCTCTCAGAAATAAATTATTCAAATCTTGTGTAGTACGGAAAGGATCTCGAAAAAAGGATGGATTTTAGGCGGATTATTTGTTGATATTTTCGCCGAATTCGAAGATGTATGTGTGTACTAGTTCTTGCACGTGGATTCACTACTATCCTCCTTAACTGTAAACGCCGCCAACCAGAAAGATACGACTATCAAATAATGCTCAATCGCAGAACTAAACTCACAACTTCGTAATCTTAGTAAAGATAATCACATTAATATTGATATTCCAGCTATAAGTTTCCAAGAGAACAGATGTGCCAAAACGCCGCTTTTAGTACCGATAATACCGTCTAACAGGTCTATATTTAGCTTCACACCTGCAAGCAGTACAGTTTATCTCTGTTCATACTTCCGAATCGTATCGCGATGTCCCTGTGCTCTTATTTGTTATTCTTGAAGCTTAGTCGGATTTAGACTTGTTTGTTTGTTTAGGTACCGGACCGTTTTACGGTACCTAAACAAGGGTAGATAAGGTAGAACACGACAAAGTCGAATCGGTACAGAACTTTGAAAGGGATTTTAACGTTGAATTTGTAAGTATCTTTCTACCTATGTAAGCGACTTTCTATTAATTTTTCGACATCACTCAACAAGCGTTACAATCTAGCACGTGTAGCCCGTAACGCAAAAAGGGGGCTTCAAACAAAGCTCATTGATTTCAAATGTATGATTTATTGTCTTCTTTTTTTGTCTACAGTAATTATCGCTAGAACAAAATGCCGGACTGGACGTGGCTGGTGTTCGCAGCGGTGTTCGGAGCGGTTTCTGCCCTCTCCGTTCCTCTCGTACTCCTCATCTACTTCGTGCGCCCTTTCGAGAAGAAAACACAGACCACAGAAGATTATAGTCTACCTGTCACATTACCACCGGTGAGTAGCAATTTTGTTTTTAACCTTTATAATTTCGCTTTGAGTTATCTATATTGAAAAGACGATGATATAGTTATTTTATTAGATATTGGTAACTAATGAACAGTATAAGCCACTACATTAGTCAACAATTCTTATAGCGAAACTCGGTAACCTAAAACTTGGTTATCGACAATCAAATCTTCAGCCAACTTCGTAACTTCGACGAAAGTAAATCGTACATACATCATACAACTACCTAAAATCTTTTATAAGTAGATAAATTTAACTCCGATAAAGTTATAATCCTGACGAAAACGGCCTTTAGAAGTGATCAGTAGTGTTGCCACCTCATCACTAACAGCCATAGGCATATTTATCTTAGTTAACATTCGCTCGGTGAGACACGAGCAAGTTATGTTACTTTCGCAGCTGTATTTTCGAAAATTACGTTTCTCATCAATCTCTCACGACGTACGGCTAAAACCTCCGAAGCGTTAAACATACAATATAACGTGATTGAAGAAAACGAAACACAAATTGGAGCTCAAAATAAAGCTAATTTTTATATACAAAGTTTTTAAATAAATATAGGCATTACGAGATTGCTTGTAGTGTAAAAAAACATAAAAAAAACACAGTTTGGTTATGGTTTAGACCAGCGATAATTTACTTTAGTGCCAGCCACGGTTATTTAGGCGGGAAAATAAACAACTGACAGTTCCACGGTTTGGCAACATTCAGAAATTGTTATGATTGGCACCCGCCTGTTTGAGTCATGTTGACGTGAAAATTATGGACTCTTTTCTTTATAATCAGACCGTAGTTGTTTTTACTAGAATCGAACGTTGAAATAAGCGTTTCTTTTTTCAAGGAAATTTTTGTGTTATCTGTGAAATGTTAATATCGAAGCGTATTATTCTTTCGTTACACATAAAATAATATACCAAAGTTTTCCTAAAGACAGTAAAAATAAATTTACATTTGTATATTCACAAGATTTGAGAAACAATTACGAGTATTTTATCAAAAATACCTCGTTAGTTGATATAATAAATGAATAAGTAGAAGAAAAGGAAGCATTTTTTCTGAAAACAAACTCAATAATGAGCTCGAAATGAGGTAATTTTTCATGAAACCCGCCTTTCATTCTACAGTATTATTAAGAAAGCTATTTACGTTAATCTATAAAAAGATCCTATTACGGGCGACCTTAAAAATCTTTTTAAAGCATAATCAAGTATGACAAAGTGTTCCCATATCGCATGACTTGATCGCACTTCAAGGTCGGAATCGAACCTGGCTTCACTTCCTCAATACCGATGTGTTTAATTACGACAAATGTATGTTCTAATTAATTTTATTGGTAAAATGTGTTAATTAATAATGTTAGGAACTAAAAATAGTTCGATTGTATGAGGTTTATATGTAGTTTTGACAGTGTATGTGTGTGTGTGTGTGTGTGTGTGTGACTATACAGTGAACGTGAACGTATAAGTAAGTGTTCTTCATAAGCATTTGAGGAGTTTTACAACAGCGCAAAATTTCAAATTAATAATGCTTTGAGATACTCAAGCTTACCATCATTATATTATATCTGTGAATATTAAACAATAACATCCTAAAAATGGAAGAGACATTTCTTTGAGTTGTTGCTTTGTTATCGTATCTAACACCGATCCCTTATTTCAGTAATAAACGTGCGTGTTATTGTTTTCCTCTATCCTTCGTTAGTTCAAAAAGGGAAACATCTAACCGATCTGTTAGATATTTGATATCCTTGCGACTGACGGCTTAGTACGAGTTTAAAGTTATCGAAACGAGACCGTTCGACGTTCTGAGTGCCAAGCACGAATAACTACCGGTGTTGTGATTGGTTGGTTCACTGAAGCCGGCCAATCAGAGCGCAGAACGCGCTTGATGTTAAAATTACGTTACGAATGCAATATAATATTAGACTGCACGGTTGGTGCGATGGCTGGGCATCCGGCTGCCGTGGAACGTGTCGCGGGTTCGATTCCCGCACGGAACAACACTTTGTATGATCCACAAATTGTTGTTTCGGGTCTGGGTGTCATTGTGTATGTGAACTTGTATGTTTGTAAACGCACCCACGACACAGGAGAAAATCCTAATGTGGAGCAACGTTTTAAAAAAAAAATAGTTATTCGTATTTCTGATTCGTTGTTTCATTGTAACACAAACTCGTATTTTAAACGAAAAATAGTCGTACTAAGCTTTCTGGTTTCATATAAAAAGTCAATCATTACTATTCCTCTTGAAGTGTACTTTCCTACCTATGTATGTATATATGTATGGAGGTCTAACATTTCTTTCCCCACGTGAATAGCCCTCTAGAAGTTGGGACCCCGTTTCGACCCTCTCGGTACGTGCGTAGTCAATCCAATCATCCGTAAATCCATTCACGATCCGTTGAAGAAAGAGAGCTGATCTTTAGAAAAAAATATCGAGGGTTAATATATAATTAAAGAAAATAGGTATTAATATCTTTAAATAAGTAGTAAAACTATGACTGTATCTAGAGTCATAGTTTTACTACTTATTTGAACGACGCATCCTGAGTTTGATCATCTTGGTCAGAACTGTCAGAAGTCAGGTGAAGTTAAGTATTAAACCTAAATATAAACTGAATTGAGGTACTTTGAATAGGTTGATAGCTATCATCCTATGTAGACAGACTGTCCCTAGTTAGTATACCCCTACGTCGCGGAGAACCTAACGGGTAACCGGGGCTCCGGCTCGACGTGCAGGAGAAGGAACGGGGTGGTTTTTAGTCAGTAAGAGTCTGACACGCCCTTCCGCCTCACCCAGGCGGGAGCAGTCATTCGATGATTTTCCCCCCTTAAAAAAAAAAGTATACCCCTATGGCCCTCTATGGCATCTTTATTACTGCTGACTGAAAAAAGTGTAGAAAATTATCAGTATGAATATGAAAGTTTTAAGTCTTAACTATTAGAAAATGGTGCTATGCGTGCTTATATTGAAACTTGTACATCACGGCTCCGGATAACTTATTACTTCAAGCCGGAAATAATTAAATTCTCGATCGCTTCATATGAATGGGTCTGATGGGTACTCGTATGAATCGATTGGAAAATTTGCATCCTTTGCCTTTGATTATGAGCTAGAACTTAAAATATAGTTAGTGAATACTGTTTGATAAACGTCAAGGAAGGAAGGGTTTTTGTAGGCGCCTATTTTTAATTCGTCTTTAATGGGGGCTAACGTATTTTGGCTCACCAGATGAGGCAAATGTAGAAAGATGTTTTTATCCAATCACAACAGTTGTCAAATATTGAACGTCCAATGGCGTGACACTAGCTAATTACCTATTGGACGGAGAACGAAAGGTTCACACTGGCGAAATCGAATGATTAAAAATACGGTAGGCCCAATCGTTCTAATTAGTCTTTTTAACTCGATTTGTATGAAGTATAAAATTGTGTACATTATTTTTGGTAAGTGTTGGTAGCAATAGGTGTTTACGTTTTTAAGAAACTAGGTCTACAAACATTAGGTGCTTCCTCCTTCTTGCTACTTGTCACTTATTATTAAACACATCACAAACATGTACATCTGCCATCCCTAGCAACAACAGGCTAATGTTTAATTAATGAAATCAATAAAGCTCTTCGACTCCTAAGTAAAGATATTTGTTAAAGTGCCGCCCGTCGATGAGTTTATCAATATTGATTACTTGTTAATGCTTCGCACAAGGTACACTTTAGTACCTACCTACCTATGTATATATACGATAACATGGCTGTATCCAATCAATTGTTTCGTAACAATGCGTAGTGTACGTGTGTACACATTTGTAACACTAACAGATTGTATTTACTCGGCTTATGTATTACGTGTTAATAGGAAAGGTGTTACTTTGGTAAATTGTGTTGTCTTTTACTTTCTTATAAAACATTTTACCGTTACTTGCGTAAAAATTACTGGCAATCAAAGGTTTTTATGGATAGTTTTAAATATCGTTTAATTACTTCGGTATATCGGTAGATAAGACACGCACCACTCTACTCCTATGGAAACACAAAGATAATTTAGACCTAGTATATTGAATTCGACTCTAAAGACTTCAAAGTCCATATTCTATTGTGTACTCCCGTTCTATCATTATATAGCTGTTTATAGACTCTCCACATATTCTGGAAGCGAGGCAATCTTTATAGGGTGCCATTAATCTAAGGTTCAGGTAATCAGTATGTATTTCATATTTTTATTCCATCGGAATACAATTTTATAGTCACAATAAAAAAAGTGTTGCAGACAAATCTACCGCTAACTATGCACATTAATATACCGTGCATAAGACACTTGAAGGGTTAATCTCATTTCATAGGCTGTCGTCAATTTAGAGATTTATGTGCAGTCAGCCAATTAACTAAGTCTTTGTGTGCAGGTATGTATTATTGAGTTGATTTTTTATTATTTTATTACTTAAATATTTAACTGTATTTGATCTCATTGTTGTTTCTAATTTTAGTTACATGTAGATAAATATTTTAATTGTGTATTTAATGACATGTAGACGATTTGGTAGATATAATACTGTTAGTCTATATTGTTGTAAATTATAAATAAATAAATGACCAAGACTTAGCAAATGAACTTTACATGCTTTGACTTTTTAAGGGGAGGTTTTCAGGGGACAATCTTAATTATTAACATAATCTTAAACGCCTAAACAACGTGTTATACAATTCGTTTCTTCACTAGACGTTTTATATTTTCGTCTAACACATTACAATATTCGTCACCAAACACTATTCCAAATATAGCCCTTTAATTAAGCTTGTCGCCCTCAATTTTAGTGCAGAAATACTTATAATGAATAAAACCAGGCCGATAAAATGGCGTCTGATGAGGTTCGTGACGTCATCACGTCTGTTTGTATGTATGTATTTACAGATGAAGCGAATCGAAAACGTGCTCGATTTATTTGAGTAAGTAATTTTATTTTGAAATTGGTTGTTCAGTTCGTTGAAATTGAAAATAGGCTCATCCTCCCACCCGTCTTAATATGTGACGCTTGATTGTTTTATAATCATAACTTCATCTTTATTCTTTACTAATAATCATGGCTGAATCCTAAATAAAGTCCGAATACTCAGAAATCAACATAACACAATGGCACTCAGGAGTTGAGGGCATCCCCTAGTGCGACACAAAACACGGCTTAGGGCGTCGTTTGGGGAGCGTAACAAGGGACAGTTGATCAGGTCTTGAATAATTTAGGAGGCCAGCAAAAGCCGGGCAGCGTGCAAATAGGTGCTTAATACTGAGTTCGAAACCCAATATGGGCGATCACGATCAACCAACCAACACAGGGTAGATAACAATAGCAATTACATCATCGTTACTTACTTCTACTACTAATACTCTTTCTGATTGTGGCCGAGTGATTTATTGACTGACAGAGACAGTGCACAACCGAAATGTCAGCTTTTTTATAGGCGTCGCCCATGGACACCTGGAACACTAGAGGCGTTACAAGTGCATTACCGGCCTTTTGGGGATTAGGAGTTAAAGGATCGTTGGGGATTCAGGGATTGGGGAGATTGGGGAAGGGGAGGGGAGTGTAATTGGGCCTCCGGTAACCTCACTCACACGTCGAAACACAACGCAAGCGTCGCTTCATGTCGGTTTTCTGTGAGGCCGTGGTATCACTCCGGTCGAGCCGGCCCATTAATGCTGAAGAAAATTAAAGTTTCTAAAATAAAAGTAGCCTATGTTATTCCTTAGTGCATCCCAGTCCCAAAATCGGCCCAGTATTTCAGACATACAGTACAAATAGACAAACAATTTTTTTTTAAGTATTGTTTTGGTATTGGTATCGTATGTATGTATATATATATATGCATGTTTACTACAAAGCAGTTATTTTAATATTACAAACAGACCCTCGGATTTTATTTATCTATATATATGTATATGTTATATATAGTGATAAAATGTTGAAATTTGGCATGTAAATTACTTGGAAAATGAAAAGATCACTAAGAAAGAGGATTTCCCAACATTCCTATAGAAATAGGGAAAAATGGGGTTTTGTGTATCAAGTTTCGACCATAAGCTAGTATTTACATATTAAAACACTTATTCCTCGCGTATATATCTTCATAAGCCATCTATATTCTTAGCTGTCTTCATCAAGCGGATTATGAGGTGGCAGATGTTAATGATAGGAGATTAGCATTCACTTACCTCGCTTTGTTGCTCTGTTTAGTCGCCTTAGTGCATCGTTCATCATCTTATGTCACATATATTTATACAAGGCATTGTGTTTTGGATTGGACGATTATCATATTTAAAAAGTTAATAATACTGTCTTCCATACATACCTAGCACGACTGCTTTATTTGAGTTTTCGGAACGGGGGTTGCCAAAGAAGGGATCTCGGGATTATTATTATTATTTTGTCGAATTAGGTATAGCAATACATCTTTTAATACATGACGTATGTATAAGACGTATTACCCACTTTACGTCTAATACGGACAGCTCTGGGGAATAAAAGGGATGTGGGTGTTAAGACCCAAATAGATAAGTACCTAGGCCCCAATATAGATTCAAAGGAAGGTTTAGAAAATACCCCTATTTACATAAATAATAAGGTTTACTTTGCCTACTGTCTCAAGTTTGCCTTCTCAAATCTCGTGGGGAATTAGGGCCGCGTACAGAAACGCGCGTTTGACGCGCCTCATACGAGATTAGAACGTTACCTTGTGACCTAAGCACGCGAAGAACTTGTGATCGTAAACGCGCGTTGACAGCGCGTATACGCGCGCTTTCTATTGTTTTCATGTGTGTGACGAGGTACTACAGCGCGTATTGCATCATCAACGCAAACGCAATAGTGTATACAGCGCCGAAGACGAGCGTTCCTAATATGCGCGTTGCCTGCGCGAATAAGAACACATCGTGTGCTATGGTCCTAAGGAAGTACTCTGTTGTAGGAATACACATTTTCTATGCATTACAGTGAGTACAATACTTATTTAAAGGCATTCAACTATACATGGTATTGTATTGTTTGTAACGATTTATCAAATAGGACATTCGTGTTTAATTTAGTTTACAGACTGCTAGACGAGTTAATTAGAAGCTATAATTAGGTGCGAACCTCGAGGAGATAGGGATGTAAGTAGAGACAAATACATCGAAGCGTAAGCAATGTGTATCCTGCTGAAGATATAAGAATATATCGTACTAATAATAAGTCACGGCGGTATTAGCGCCAACTTATTTCCCAAATGGCCAACTTTTTTTTTACAAAGTTTTTCTTGTGTGTGCGAACATGATATAATACCAGAACATCCACGACACTTGTAGATATTGTCTTTCGTGATTCATATACCTAGATACCTACTTACTCTTTTTTCTGATCTGATCCTTTGAATGTCTTATTTAAATCGAGAAACAAGGGAAACCACAACGTACAAACATCCACTAAGCTGTTGCACCATTTTTACTGACAATTCATCAGTGTTGTCGTAATTGAAACATTTATTTAAACACTAGCAAACCCGGCGAACTCCAGTTCACCACCAGATTCGTTTTATGTAACATTTCGTTTGGTGATTAAAAGGTGAAGAAAAATTATAAAAACAAATGCAGGAGGAGCACGGAGGCCTTTCCAACGAATGCAAAACCGTGGAAATCAGTGCGTGCGTTCTGGAGTTATAGCGCCAGAAAGGAAAATCCGACTTATTTTTATATAGAAGATGAAACTTTACATACACGAACTCATAAACAGTAAATACAAGCAAACCATATCCAAAATAATTGCGAATCAATATTGGAGCTATGACGTGTAAATGGCACACTAAATCGTCATTGGGGCGTTTAACGGTAGCGCCTAATTGATTGATCATACCAATATTCGACACACCTGCATACGTAATTGCTGCGTCCGTACTTTATGTACGTGTGGATACAATACATCGCGAATCGGTAGATTGACCTATTTGCTGGCTATGGATTAATGCGGTATTGATGTGATGAAAAGGACGGCAGAATCGCTGAATTAAATGCATCTTCCACCTCATAATTATCTTCATCTGTTGCGTCTGCCGAATATAATTATCCTCCAATAGCTCACCAGTGACCTCTATCAGCTTATTGTATTCAATCATAAATTTAATTGTAATATTCCTGTGTATCTACTTAACACTCGCAGTTATTATCGCCATTCTAATCATAATTATGAAAAGCTGATGTAAGTTTTTATTCCAAAGACTTCAAAATTAAGACTTTATTTCACTATATAGTTATTAAAAATTGCTTATAGGTACATTTAATATAACTTGTTGTCAACAGGAGGTCCTGAATGAACTTACAAGAGGGTTGGGAAGTTCTCCAGAAGGTGCTCTGAACACGATGCTGCAGTTCATCTTTCAACAAAGCACGGCTGATACGCGTTGGTTGCGCAGGCGGATGGCCACTGAACTAGCTGAGCTGCTAGCCAAAACATCTTCTGGAAAGATCTTTGAATCTTTGACGGTAAGAAAAAGATTATTTTGTATCATTTTGTAAATATTCACCTGCCCGGGTCTTCGTACTACCTAGTAATCACTGTCAGTCATATCGATACTTTAATAGAAATTAAATCTCTTTACCTTCTTACCAAATAATTAGACTGAATTAAAGTATGAATCAACAGCCATCCATTCCCGAGCCAATCATTTCCTTTTAAATCACATTATTACGTTCAAACCAGCAATAATCTTGTCAGAGAAAATTACATTGCGCCATGTCTATTACCGAGTAAATATAGGCCACGTAATCGACGGTCAATGTATTATGCATGTTGCGTAACGATCGCAAATTGCACAAATTATTTGTAGATGGCGTTACATATTCTATTCATACTTTGATTGAATCATTTCCGTGCTTCAGTTAGCTGGTGGATCTTTTTATTTTATTACGGTAGTAACCACAGAATATTATATCTATGGTAGAAACATACCTATCTCGTTGACTGACTCGTTGGCCGAGTGGTCGCAAGTCCGACTGCCAGGCAAGGGGTTTCGGGTTTCTATCCCGGGTCGAGCAAAGATTAATACGTTTTAAAAAATATCCTAGTAGTAGAACGGAGTCTGAAATTGTGTCCAGTATATGGCAATAGGCTCACCCTCTAATACATGGGATTCATAACATAAATAGGGAAAAGTGGGTGTTACATTGTACAGTGACATTAAATGCCATAATGGGCACCTCTGCCTACACATTCGGAGATAAAAGGCGTGATGTTAAGTTAATATATAATATTCCTACCTGGGTCTGTCCTCAAGGTTTGTCTAATCTCCCTTATTAAAGGAATACTTGATTGGCTAACTGAAAATTACATACAATATGTCCTCCAATTCGTTTTAGTTTTTAGTTTGAGGGGTTAAGATCATCCAGTTACTTCTCCCGCCTTGGGTTAGGCGAGAGCGAGTGTACCGTAATTACTCATTGTTAGTCACTCAATGGACGACGGTGTCATGGTGGCCCGGAGGTTAGAGACGCCCACTTCTCATGCATGAGAGTGCGGTTTCAGTCACATTGGTACTTGTACCGAGTTATAAGATCTTTCTAAGATTGTTTTTTCGAAGTTGTCATACTCACTCAAAGGTCTCATTGGCGGTGGCGCGTGCAGTGGATCGCTCGATTCCCTACAATATGGTTGATTTGGGCGGTGCTGGTGTACGTGTCATGTTCGTGAACGGGCGCCGTCAACTGGGACTGGTCAGCTCCAGACTGTATTATTTTATTGTCTTTAAGGTTATTTTCTTTTTCAATCACTTTGACTAGATTTTAGTGTTACATTGTTCTCGCACAATCCAAACAGCAAACTATGTAACTAGAGAATTGTATTGTGAACCTGATTGAGAAAGAGTAACCTATGGAGTTTCTTGTTCGTTCTTCTCCATAGGAACCTACACCTTGGAATGAGCAAATAGCTTCACTTTTAATTTTATTATTGACGTTCAAAAGTGCCTTTCTGGTCTAATTGAAATAAATGATTTTGACTTTGACTTTTGACTTATTATCTAGACACCACTGACAAACGGTGAAGGAAAACACCGTGAGGAAACCTGGGCTGGGCTTATAATTTCATATTATAAGTTTGAAACCGCCAATCCGCATTGAGTAAGCGTGGTGATTAACGCTCAAACCTTCTAATATGAGAAGAGGTTTTGATCAGCAGTGGGCATTTATAGGCTGTTGATGTGAACGGACGCTTTGTCGTTTGACTCCGAAGTCGAACTTCGAGATATTAATTTTGCAATTCACAAAGCGTCTCAAACTTGGACTGTATTAGGATCTAAGTGTCCCAGCTATTAAATATTTAGTCCATTATTCGAGATGTTGGATTCGGAGATATTGACATTTCTCAGAACAGAAAGCAAATATTTATAAGATAAATATTGAGACAATTTAACAGACTTCGTGAAGATTTTTAATAACAAAATTCTAGGTAATGGTACCTATCTATATTCTTGGATACATTCTTGATAGACGCTTCGATTTATCGGATAAGCTTACCTTATTGTTACTGATTACTGAAGTTTCGTAAACAATCCCTAATCACTTCTAAGAAGAACAAGCCTAGAGCTTCACTATATCGAATTTCAATATTAAATAAAGGCTTTTTGGCGTTTAATCCATAATCCTGAACAGAATCTTACCAATATTATAAATGCGAAAGTTTTTTAGTGGGTTCGTGTGTGTGTGTGTGTGTGTGTTACTTAATCACGTCAAAACCGCTTCATCATCAACAGCCTATAAATGCCCACTGCTGAGCAAAGCCTCTTCTCACACGGAGAAGGTTAGAGCATTAATCACCACGCTTGCTCAATGCGGGTTGGCGATTTCAAACTTATAATTAGAAATTATAAGTCCAGGTTTCCTCACGATGTTTTTCCTTCACCGTTTGTCAGTGGTGTCTAAATAATCTTAGAAAGTACATATAACTCGGAAAAAGTCACATTGGTACTTGCCGTTGGTAGGTTTCGAACCCGCAACCTCATGCATGAGAAGTGGGCGTCTTAAACCTCCGGGCCACCACGACTACTACAAAACCGCTTAAGTAATCGGGATGAAATTTAGAATTTTTTTTTTTTAAGGGGGAAAAATCATCGATTGACTGCTCCCGCCTGGGTGAGGCGGGAGGAAGTGTCAGACTCTTACTGACTAAAATCCACCCCGCCCCGGTTACCCGTTAGGTTCTCCGCGGTATGAAATTTAGAATAGGGGTAGATTATGGTCTGGAATAACACATAGGCTACTTTTCATGTGGCGCCTAGCTTCACTGACGGACAGACTGACAGACTATTACTTATTTTATATTAGTTGGTGTTTCAAAAGTACCAAATTATGATTTAATTGAAATAAATGCTTTTGAGTTTGAGTTTTTTATCCGACGGCAACGCGGACAAGGCTGCTGGCAAAAGCTAGTCTATCTATAAATGCGGCATATATATATAATACGCGGTTTACAAGCGAACTATTCGCTCCAATGGTCGCAGATTTGCGGTTCAATCGGCGCCAACGATTCGTGACCGCTGATGTGAAAACACCCTGTCTAAGCTTGGAACATTTATTAAACCGCTAATAATATGCTGATAGTATCGTCAACACGTATAATTATTATGCAGCGGTAAGTAGCGATATTGAATTTCTAAGTAGGATACCGTTATTGGAGTTATGAAGCATTTTAGCGCATCGCATATTGTTAGAAGTAAGTTTGGATACTTCAATTGCTATTTTAAAGTTTTTAGAGGAGTTTGTAACATGGTCTGTCGTCTTTAGAATCGACCAACCAAAGATAATAGACAGTTTCAAAGTCCGTTATATTATATTACTGAAGATCGCAATATAATTTTTCATGGCGGACTAGCAGTAATATTATTATCTCTTGTCCTGTCTACATTACACATAGTAAACTTATATAAATGTTCTTGCAGAGGATAGTACTTTCCTTTTATAATAAGAATAAATATTATTTAATTTGTACCTATTTATACAGAGCAAGGAGCAATACAATCCAAGAATTAAACTTTATAGTTGCTGTAGTACAACTATGCTCTATCTATCGTAGAAGTTTACCGGGGCTCCGGCTCGAAGTGCAAGAGTAGGAACGGAGTGGTTTTTAGTCAATAAGAGTTTGACACTCTCCCTCCCGTCTCACCCAGGCGTTAGAAGGCATTTGATAATTTTACCCCCTTAAGAAAATGCTATCAACTGTACTAGGTACCAGATTTATTTAGGTAACCTCTTTCTATCAACATTAATATTGAAATTCAGACGAAATACAAATAGAACCTAATTCTGTAGTGGCAGAGTAAATTGACCATTCAACAGAGATAATAGCAAGGTTGACTGCCCTGAGTGGGCCAGACGTAGGCACTTATTGAATAACATCGTTCCAGTCGTCGCCATGGAGACTAATATGGATAGGAAGATAATATTTTTTGTTAATTGGTTATTGATGCTGATTGGTTATTGTTTATGACTGCCTCGTTGGCCGAGTGGTCGTAAGTGCGACTGCCGGGCAAGGGATCTCGGGTTCGATTCCCGGGTCGGGCAAAGTATTACTGGGTTTTGAAATATTCTGTGTAGTAGCACTGAGTCTGGAGTTGTGCCCGGTATATGGCAATAGGCTCACCCCCTATTACGTGGGACTCATAACATAAATAGTGAAAAGTGGGTGTTACATTGTACAGTGGTTTTAATGTGCACCTCTGCCTACCCCTTTGGGGATAAAAAGCGTGATGTTATGTTATGGTGGTTATTGATCTATTTTTTACATATATCATATCGAATTGCTTATTAATAAAAAGAGCGGAAGTAAATATATATTTGTCATCCATCCAGACGATTTGTCCACTGCTATATCAATTTAATGAGCAATCACCGAAACAAATTAGTATTTTAAAAAGAAGGAAATTCTTATTTGTTATCCCGTATTACTTTTTGAATTATACAAGGCAGCTCTAATCAAAAACTCACTATCGGTTAGCTTTCCATACAAAGTCCTTCAAAAAGGCTACCCTTCTTGAAATCTTTTGGAAATGGAACCCTATTATAGACGCTTTGATATTTTTCTCAGAATACACCATTTGAAGTTATGATTACCTACTTGTTGCTTTGGGGTACAGCCCAGAAACTTTCTAAGAAATATTTTCACTAGGGAACTGGCTTGTGTAATAAACCGACTATGTACGGAACAGATTCTCTAAACGAAGGTCCCGTAGCAACACAATGTGGTAAATTTGTAAAAGAGGCCTTTGGTCAGTAAAACATGTAGAGGTATATTTGTCCGAGTTATCGTTTTAATTCTTTCAAGACTGCCTCGTTGGCCGAGTGGTCGCAAGTGCGACTACCGCGCAACGGGTCTCGGGTTCGATTCCCGTGTCGGGCAAAGTATTACTGGGTTTTTAAAAAAAATCTCAGTAGTAGGAATTGTACCCGGTATATGGCAATATGCTCACCCCCTATTACATAGGACTCATAACATAAATAGTGAAAAGTGGGTGTTACATTGTACAGTGGAATAATGTGCACCTCTGCCTATCCCTTCGGGAATAAAAGGCGTGATGTTATGTTATGTTATGTTCTTTCAAGTACTTTTTTCCATTATAGAGATATGATTGGTGATTTAGATCACAGTAAAAAAACATGCAGTACCATAGCTGGTTTACTCTTCAACTAAAATGCTGTCTTCTTACCTTAGACAGATGTCATACTTAATGTGCTGTACCCTAAAATAATTATAGTCGTTTCTAAGAAGTACCCAAGTACAAACTTAAGAACGTTTTCCTCCGTAAATTAATTAGTTTGTTTAAATCTTTACAAGCAATAGCCCTGAGGGCTATAGCCAGGGGCTGTCAAGTTCTTTGCCTCTAAAAAAAACTTTGTTCCTTAACGACTCTTGCTAGTGATTTTCGTGTCTTAGAAGTAAAAAGTTTTGTTTGACGGCCTCTTTGGTTGAAAGACCGCAGGAGCGTAAGCTGAGCATGCTGTTGGGGTTTTATTCAGGTTAGGAAATGTTTGATTAGGACTTTTTAGACACTTATGTCGGAATACTGAAACGCTACTCAATTTTAAGTCACGCTTAAGTATAGTTCTGTCACCACTAATTCTTTATAAAATGACAGAGACGGCACGATATTTAAGCACGACTTAAAATTGAGTAACGCTTCAATAAAATTAAAAACGACATAAATTATTTCCCAATGTTACACAACAGGTTTTTTAAAGTTCCCTTTACCTATCCCTTCGAAGAGTAAATGCGAAATTCCTTAATGTTGAAACTTTTATTTTAAGGCAATTTCTAGTACAATGATGTATGTACATACATACATAATATTATTATGCTTACTGTGTATTTTCCTCCAAAATAAGGGTTTGCGCTCGAGGGCTACATGTTTAGTACACGTAATGTTACAAAATTTACGTCATACATATTACAATAATCATGTTTTGTTAGTAACTATGTATTATAATATACAGACCAATGTACAAGCCACGAGTTACGTCGGTACCCATTGTATCATACTATAGATACATTCGTAAGATGGGTTAGACTGGCGTCAGTGAAATTCTAGTCATCATAATCATTTATTTATTTGTATCATAGGTGGTATGTTGATGATGATGGATGTTCATAAGTTAAAGACAGGTTTATTTACACTATGTTTCGCCTTGCTTGGCGTACAAATATTAAAATACCATAAATAATTGAATTAATACAAAGAAACAAAAGTTATTTAAAGTCAAGAATGTCAATTTAAAAATCACGGTAATATGAAATTAAAATTTAACAACATCACAAATATTCACTTAAAAAAATGTATATATTATTATATCTGAAACAATTCAAATTAATATTAGGAGTTTTCCCGAGTTTTTAGTAAGTGATACCAAGTGAATAATATATAATTTTTAAAAATAACAGTTATAACTATAAAATCCTATATCTAATGAGATCAACATCTTATAACTCAGCGTCTGGTAGATTTTTATTTAAATCTCGGTTGAATCATTTTAATACAACGATCTTAGGCTTAACCAAGAAAGATCATACACGCAGAACGGTAGTGAAAAATGCGCGATTCAGCATTAATCATCCATTTTTGTCAACAGCTTCGCTCCCTAGAAGTGGGCACGGAGTTCCCCAGCATCACGAACCTTAGGCTACAGTCTGGTGAGCTGGAAGAAGATGGGGCGCGACTCAGGGCTTTGGACCTGAAGTTCGACCTAGCGTATGACGGCAACTTCAGAATCGACGTCGATGCCGTTATGTTACTTGGGAAAATCGCAAACATATCTATTACTGGTAAGTTTTAAGTGAAGAAAGTATTGAAGTGTAAAGGTTCATCAGTCAGCCATTTTGGTAAATAATTTAATGGTAGGTTAGGTACTAAAACAAGTTTAGATATATAGAACACTGAAAGTTTAAGGGTCCTCCATCTTATAGTAATAAAAACTTCTAATTTCTAAGTGCGACTGCTAGGCAAGGGGTTTCGGGTTCGATTCCCGGGTCGAGCAAAGTACTACTGGGATTTATTTTAAAAAAATCTCAGTAGTAGCACGGAGTATGGAATTGTGCCTGGTATATGGCAATAGGCTCACCCCCTATTACATGGGACTCATAATATAAATAGTGAAAAGTGTGTGTTACATTGTACAGTGGCATTCTGCCTACCCCTTCGAGGATAAAAGGCGTGATGTAATGTTATGCAAACTCCTGTTTTATATATATTATCAATATTATGATTAGAAATCGTTGAATTGTTTTTAGCCTATGTGTAATATAGTGATGCACGTAATGCTCTGAAAATCTTGATAAAGTTTATTACCAATAGTCTTTGAAACACCTACTTTAAGTTCGGGTGAATAAATCACCGACGACTGTGTCAAAGAGAACTTTATCTCAGTATGAACTTTGAACTGATTTATAAAGTTTTGAACGCATAACTCCTTATTATGTAACTTTGTTAACTTAGAAAGGTCCTTTCTTTCACATTTTTCCTTATAAGAGACCCTTTTATATATTTTCACATTTAATCACATTTAATCTCTGAAGTAGAAGACTACGGTTCTGTCACCTAGTCTTTAACTTCATTACAACTTAATAGATTTTGTGTAGCTTCATTCCGATACTTTGTTTAGTTTGTTTAATAGTGTATAAGTTATAATATGCTGACCGATCTGTAAGACTGCCTCGTTGGCCGAGTGGTCGCAAGCGCGACTGCCGGGCAAGGGGTCTCGGGTTCGACTCCCGGGTCGGGAAAAGTATTACTGGGTTTTTAAAAAATTCTCAGTAGTAGCACGGAGTCTAGAATTGTGCCCGGTATATGGCAATAGGGTCACCCCCCATTACATGGGACTCATAACATAAATAGTGAAAAGTGGGTGTTACATTGTACAGTGGCATAATGTGCGCCTCTGCCTACCCCTTCGGGGATAAAAGGCGTGATGTTATGTTATGTTATGTGTTATAATGTGCTACAGGACAACATAACATAGTAGCTCAATAAAATATGCAGTGGGAGTACTGCTTTTAACTGCCAGTTTCTACATTAATGTTGTTGACTACCTACTTTTCTATTGAGTTGGCATAAGAGAAGTCTATGCTATCCACGACATAGTACCAAACCACTATGAACAGAATACTTAGACAAATAAATTCACGATTCCATGAATTTCTATTTCCAGTGGAAAGCATAAGCGGCAACGTGAGAGTGATGTTCCGACGCAATCCATACACTCATTGGGCTATAGCCTTCGAGTCACCACCGAAACTTGAGCTCCGAGTCCGAGGCAGGTTTCAGGGCAGACAGATCAAGCCTAGACTGGCTTCATTAGTCGCTGCGCACATAAGACGAGCGGTAGCACAGAGGCATACGTTGCCCAATTATAAAATACGGTAAGTGTTACATTTCTTTACTTTGATGAGATACCTGAACTTTGTACTGGCTTTAATTTTACATGTTAAATAAATAATGAGTACCTACATTATTTCCTTCATTAATTCTTTTGTAATGAAAACCACGTCAGAGTGTTGTTTTTGCTTAGATACGACATGATAGAAAAGGCAATACCTATGTATGTAGACTTAACGCTTCACAAGTGTTGAGCTGGAACCTATTTAAATTTTCACTTGAGCTAGAACTTTATGGGGTGTAAAGAAACAGGTTTGTAGTAAAAGAGTTGGTTTACGTTTCATTAAGGATTAGTACAGTAAAGGCAGTAACAAAAGGGTTAAGAAGGATCTGGTTTCAGGACATATTAAGTATTAAATAAGACAACCTCTATAACATGATAGGTCTATATAGTTTTATCTGATACTTCAATAGTTTTGCAACTTTATTATTTTACAAGGAATTTGTGTAGTACTTCTAGGAGAATGAAAATGTTGCAGATCGTTTCCATTCCGGAGATCGGAATCCCTTAAAAAATGAAAAAAAAATGTATTGACAAAAAGCTTCACATTACATATTTATATGGCTCTGGACCCCACACTAGGATTCCCTGTGTTGTGAGGCCAAGTCTCTTTCAGTCAGAAAAGATAGAACAATTTAACCTGCTAACATTCGTCAATAAAATATTCCTTACAATCTTTAATTCCAGTTATAAACCGTTCTTCCCGAAGTCAGATCCTGGCAGTACGGAAGGAGACGAGGGCCCATGTCCACATGGTCGGTTGACAGTGCGGTTGATGGAAGTAACCAGGTTGCAATGGTCTGGTGGACCCGCTACTGTTCGCGCAGCCTTAGCTGTTGATTCTCATGGATGGGTAAGTTTATGTAGTGAGGACCCCTCACTCCAGGAGCATCCATAAAGTACGTCACATGTAAAAGGGGGGAGGGGGTCGACAAAGTGTAACATGATGTGTCAAGAGATGGAAGGGGTCCTAATTTTCGTGACATCACATTACACACTACGGAGGGGCCCTCAGACTTAGAAATGTGACCACCTGTGAGTGACAGGGAGGGGGGGGGGGGGTAAAAATGTCATAAATTTCGTGCTACGTACTTTATCGATGGCCGCTGATAAGGACTTTCGTATGGAATGCTTGCAGATTCACATATTGTAATTTCGTGGCAGAAAGTGTGGTTTGAAGTTTCTAGTGACACCTTGTCAAACGTTTCAATTTCATCCGAATGATTGAATTTTGAACTGGCTAAACGCTAGGAAAGTAGGAAGACTTTCAATGAATTACAATAGGCTTGTTGCAGTTGTTGCCGTGATACAATAAACATTTTTTTTAACATAACATTTTATCCCTGAAGGGGTTGGCAGAGGTGCACACAGAAGTAATACCCACTTTTCACTATTTATGTTACGAGTCAAAGTCAAAGTCAAAATCATTTATTTCAATTAGGCCAGAATGGCACTTTTGAACGAGTCCCATGTAATAGGGGGTGAGCCACATTTCCAGACTCCGTGCTATTTCTGAGATTTTTTAAAAACCCAGTAATACTTTACCCGACCCGGGAATCAAACCCGAGACCCCTTGCCCGGTAGTCGCACTTGCGACCACTCGGCCAACGAGGCAATCATACAATAAACAAATCGCTAAAATATCATCTTCCGTGAATTCGCAGGCCGACAAATAAATTCCTATGTTAATAATATTTAATTTTATTTTACTTATCTGACACGGAACAATACTGAAACAAAGAACTTTGCAGGAAACTAGACAATTTGAAACAAAACTCATTTATTTCAACCTCATTACTTATTCAGAATGTTAAGTACCTACTTTTGTCTATTGTACTTATTTGGAATGCTAAATATTTTTTGTATACTGACTGCCTGGTTTATCACAAGTGTGATTCTCTGGTCGGGCTAAGGTGTTATTGAAATTTTCAGTAAGTTCCCATTCTAATAGTTCAACCAATCTAGAATGGTGACTGGAGTACCTATGGTGATAGATGTTATGTTATCTACTGGTCAAAGTCTAAGCGGTCACCGGCGACCGCTCTCCATGTAAACCATTATAGACCTTATTTCCGACGTTTAAAGACTACTTTGTTGTGTGGACTATTCATAATCGGACATTCACGAGTTAAATATAGTTATTAAATATATCAACCATCATGTCGGGTCTACTGCTGCGCTATGGGCTTCCGTAACATAAGAGGGATTTTTCCTAATGTAAATCCTTTTTCTATTCCCCAGGTGTCACTTCGTCGCGGCGTCCTCGTCCTAGACGTGGTGTTGCCAGCCGTAGCGGGCCCGCTAGGTCTAGTGTGTTGCCAGGGTGTGGGCGCCGTGTTAGTAGACACGGTGGTGCCAATGTCACCTGCGTACCGCGCTGACTTACGTCGGGATGATGTCGTACTAGCTATTGATAACAAGCCTGTTAATAATGTGGCTCAGGTAAGGCTACTTGTATTATGTTTTAATAACTTTCAAATTGAAAAAAAATAGATTGTCTTAATTATCTGTACTAATTTTTACTTAAAAAAACTACAAAATGAACTCAAAGGTTGCTTTCTAAATCCAGTAACATGCAAGTCGTACCTATAGCTCTCTCAAACGCATTTAGAATATAGGTTACATTCAAATGATACAATTTATCTACAACATTCCTCCCTTATTCCACCAGGTGGGCAAACTCCTCCGTCTAGTAGAACGCAGAGCGGTAACAGTGCGAGTGAAACGAGGCGGTAACGGCGCAGGAGTGCGGCGTGACGAGGCGAACGAACCGAAGCGAATCAAGCCAAACTTCTCATTTAGAAGAGTTTCGGAAGTCATGGAGGGAGTCAGGCTGCAGGGCATGAGGGCTGCAGCTTCTAAGAGTAATTTACAGGTTAGTGGTGTACTTAATTATCTTTCTTTTATTCAACGCGACCTCATCTTCACATTGTTCATGACCGAAAAGGCCTTAAAGCGTTAAGGTAGAATCACTGATCAGATCACGTGAACAAAATCTGTTATCTATATTCAAATTTCTTTACCTTTATTATCAGGAACCGGAATCCAGCCCAGCAAAAACAGTAGAACCACAAAACGAGACTGATGCACAAGCCAAACCTAAAACAGAAACCACACGCCAACCGAAGTCATCCGAACAGCCTTCGGCTAACTTCGGACTTCGGAAGCGACGCTGCTCCGTAGAAAATAAGTCTTCCGACAGCTCAGCTGGAAGCACTCCACCAGCTTCGGGCGCAAGTACTCCTCTAAGACAAGCCAACGTTATCAACAAAACAGTGAAACACCCAGACATACCCATCATCAGAACAGACTCCTCAGAATGTAGGATACCAGAGAAAGAAACGAATGAAGAAGAAGAACAAATGTTCGAAGTTGGAGGACCTCGACAGTGCGAACATGTAGAGATATGTCAAATGTTCTGGACTAAAAATACTCCTTTGAAGCCAATAATACCTTTTGACGAAGAAACAGAGTTCAAATTGAACGAAAATCATAAATATCTGAACATTAATGTTTGGGCGACTGTAGCTGGGGAGAAGGAGGAGATTTTACTAGGATACTTGAATATACCGCTCACAGCTCTACTGGCTGAATGCCAGGATTCCACCGTTCCCCATCATATGAAGAGGTACCAGTTTTTGCCGCCAGATGTCGATATAAAGTTCAGGTAAAGTTTTAATTTGTAACGGTAGATGGCATTACGTGTTTACATCTAATAATAATTAACTAATGATTGATGTTTGCGTGCAGGGCCGGATTTAGGGGGGGGCAACCGGGGCGAAAGCCCCGGGGCCTCCACAAGCAGGGGGCCTCCACAATAGAGACTTCGGAAAAAAAAATTTCAAATTTCAGCTAGTAAACCTAGTAAACATCTTTTCTTTGATATTTTTTTTTTCGCTTTTACGTTTACCTACAGCCTAAAGTACTTTATACATACATGATTATTTGATTATATTAATTTTAAATATTAACAGAAACAGAAATCATTGATCTATATTTGTTCACTCCAATCAGGCAATCAGTGAAATATCAAAATCTCAAATGGCTCTGATAAGCACTTCCAATTTACTACCCATCTTGAGGGAGTACCCCAATGGTTCAATGGCTCAGTGGGATGGTACTTGCCCGCAACCTCGGAGGTTGGCTATTCGATTCCGTGTCTCAACCATTAAAAAAATTAATTGCAGTATGTGAACAATTGGTATTCTTCAATTCTTAAACTCGAAATCTGTCGAGCGTCCTCGAAATCTATCGAGCGTCCTCGATCGTTTTCGAGCGTCCTCGATTGTTTTCGAGCGTCCTCGAAATCTATAGGGCGTCCTCGAAATCTATCGAGAGTCCTCGATCGTTTTCGAGCGTCCTCGAAATCAATCGAGCGTCCTCGATTGTTTTCGAGCGTCCTCGAAATCTATCGAGAGTTCTCGATCGTTTTCGAGCGTCCTCGATCGTTTTCGGGCGTCCTCGATTGTTATCGAGCGTCCTCGAAATCTATCGAGAGTTCTCGATCGTTTTCGAGCGTCCTCGATCGTTTTCGAGCGTCCTCGATTGTTATCGAGCGTCCTCGAAATCTATCGAGAGTTCTCGATCGTTTCCGAGCGTCCTCGATCGTTTTCGAGCGTCCTCGATCGTTTTCGAGCATCCTCGATTGTTTTCGAGCGTTCTCGAAATCTATCGAGAGTCCTCGATCGTTTTCGAGCGTCCTCGAAATCTATCGAGCGTCCTCGGAATCAAGCGAGCGTCCTCGATCTCAATCTAGAAAATAATTTGTTGCAAGGGGGCCTCCACTCCTTTGTTGCCCCGAGGCCTCTGGACCCCTAAATCCGGCCCTATTTGCGTGATAAACTATTATTGCTACATAAACTCTAAAATGTGCGACAACTTAAAATTTCCACTAAATACCGCATTTCCTTCCAAATATAAAATATGTTGCGCCATATGGTTAATGCGCAAAAATTCAATCGCATTTAGCATAATTTGAAATGTTGCTACTATTGCGCAAAATAAACGCAACATCTAAAAACTAAATTTAATTCTACATTAATAAACAAACCTTTTCTTGCATGTCTTCCACACAAATCACAAGTAAGCATTGTTTTCCTGTATTTCCTTCTTTTCTATTCTTCTTTTAAATTTTTCCGTATTTTTAATTATACATACATTTTTCTCTTTCATTCGACATACGTACTATTACCAATCAATACTACAATATGATTTGGTTCACTAACATCCAAAAAGGACCCTGCTTCAATTTTCCTTCTATACCATAAATCCTAAGGCCCAACAAGTGCCTTACTTATGGGCAGGTAAGGTGAATGAAAATAAATAAGCCCACAATGAAACCTAATACACATTTCTCGGTACAGATTACAAACAAAAGTAAATATCCTTTTCGCAACACATTTTGGAAACACTAATTAGTAGATACTTACTGGATAATCGACTAGCTACAGTATCTCGTTGCGCAATAACTTTAAAAATATGAAGAGACTACAGTGACATCACTGTTTTACCACCTCAAAACTCACTGTAGCGATGACAACACTGAACAATTCTTAGAAGTTCTTCAAAGATTGGCTCATCTGTAAGAATTATTTACTAATACGCATTAATTGGGCTTCGGACAAATTCTAGGAAATACTCCCAATGCTGGAATATTGCCAGTGGGCAAACCCAGGTTGAGTGAAAATTGGATAGGTACCTATAACTGTACAAAAGTAACAACATCACACAGAGATGCACATTACGGCACTTAATGCCACTATACAATGTAACACCCACTTTTCACTATTTATGTTACGAGTCCCATGTAATAAGGGATAAGGGGTGAGCCTATTGCCATATACCGGGCACATTTCCAAAGTCCGTGCTACTACTGAGATTTTTTAAAACCCCAGTAGTACTTTGCCCGACCCGGGAATCGAACCCGAGACCCCTTGCCCGGCAGTCGTACTTGCGACCATTCGGCTAATGAGGCAGTCAAGCAACTATACAAAAGTGTTCAGTACATAAGTAGATATGTACATGTAGTGCATTTAAATATTAATGCTTAGCTACTTCTGTGCGATTTGACCCGCTGTGCTCGGCGCCTATTGGTCGTAGCGTGATATTTTATAGCTTAAAGCCTTCCTCGATAAATGGTAGGTCATATTATCCAACACAAAAATAATTTTTAAAATCGGACCAGTAGTTCCTGAGATTAGCGCGTTCAAACAAACAGATAAACTCTTTATTATATAAAGCTAAAGAGTTTATCTATACATCTTATTAAGATGTTTGATTTGTTTTCTCTTGGTTTTGTTTTTTTATTATTTTTTTTATTTTAGTACGTTCTGTTATTTTTATGTTGCGTCAGGTATGTCTTTACATTATTCTCACATGTGTGTACAATATTGGAATATGTATCAGAGCAATGTAAAACAGACTTTTTTTAAAAGAGTAACGAATGGAGTTTCTTGCTCCTTCTTCTCCACTCGAATCGACATTTTGGAACGAGCGCCTAGCTTCACTGACGGACAGACTGACAGACTATTATTTATTTCATATTTGTTGACGTTTCAAAAGTACCAAATTAAGGTTTAATGCTTTTGAGTTTGAGTTTGAATGTAAGATAAGAAATTAGCTGGTTTTTAAATAATTTTGAATTGAATGCACCAATAACACGGACCTCTCTACTAAGTCTTACATCACTAAAAGGATATTTTGATCATGATTCATAAGATCAAGGTAAAGTATTTCAAATACCCCGTCCTACATGTAGGTCGACCAGTGATGACGCATTTCATTTACCCTAATTATTAGGCACTAAACCGCCTCGTTGGCCGAGTGGTCGCAAGTGCGACTCCCAGGCATGGAGTCTCGGGTTCGATTCTCGGGTCGGGCAAAGTATTACTGGGTTTTTAAAACAATCTCAGTAGTAGTACGGAGTCTGGAATTGTGCCCGGTATATGACAATAGGCTCACCCCCTATTAGGTACATGGGACTCATAACATAAATAGTGAAAAGTGGGTGTTACATTGTACAGTGGCTTAATGTACACTTCTGCCTACCCCTTCGGGGACAAAAAGCGTGATTTTATGTTATTATAAGTTATTAGGCACTAAAAAATTTACATAATTAAAAAAATATCTACATCCCCAATACAAAGTGTTGTTTTAGAGTCGTGTCATTTTCTAGGAGGTAACTCGGCTATCGATTCTGAGTCCGAATCAATAAAAAAGATTGTATGTAAATATTTTTCATTTTTCTGTAAATTACGGAAATCCGTACGTGCGAAATACACGCCGCTGTCTTGTAACTAGCTTTATAACACGGCTTAACACATCATCATCAACAGCCGGAAGACGTCCACTGCTGGACAAAGGCCTCCCCCTTAGCCCTCCACGTCGAACGACAACTCGCCACCCGCATCCACTGGCTCCCCGCAACTCTGGCGATGTCGTCGGTCCACCTAGCGGGAGGTCTGCTCACGCTTCGTCTTCCGGTCCGTGGTCTCCACTCAAGGACTTTCCTGGCCCATCTGCCGTCAGTCCTTCGAGCGACGTGGCCTGCCCATTGCCACTTCAGTCTGCAGATTTTGCGAGCTATGTCGGTAACTCTTGTTCTTTGGCGAATCTCCATATTTCGGACTTTGTCGCGCAAAGAAACCCCGAGCATAGCTCTCTCCATCGCACGCTGAGCGACTTTGAGCTTCTCCAGAAGGCCAGAGGTCAGGGACCACGTCTCGGTACCATACGTCCTCACCGGCAACACACACTGGTTGAACATCCTGGTCTTTAGGTACTGAGGGATTTTCGATGAGAAGATTTCGCGTAACTTCCTGAACACTGCCCATCCAAGTTGGATTCTTCGGGCGACCTCTTTGTCGAAATTGGACCTACCTAGCTGTATAATCTGCCCTAAGTATGTGTAGTGCTCTACAACTTCGGATATCGTTCCCAACGATGACCGGTACAGGTGCAACATGGACGTTTGACATGATTTTGGTCTTGTCCATGTTCATTTTAAGACCCACCTGTTGGGAGACGATATCGAGGTCGCTGAGCATGGTGTTTAAATCCTCTAGCGACTCTGCCATGATGACTACATCATCGGCGAAGCGGAGGTGTGTGATGTATTCGCCATTGATATTGATGCCCAGTCCACTCCAGTTTAAAAGCTTGAAAACGTCCTCCAATGCGTTGGTGAACAGTTTCGGAGAAATCACGTCTCCCTGTCTCACGCCTCTGGGTTCTGCAACTGGATTGGTTCCGTGATATCTTCCTGGAGTCGGATGCGCATGGTGGCGTTTCTATACAAACACTTTAGCACCTCGATATATCTGTAGTCAATATGGCATGGCTGGAGAGACTGCAGCACCGCCCAGATCTCGATCGAATCAAAGGCTTTTTCATAGTCCACAAACGCCAAGCATAGTGGCAAGTTATACTCCTCAGTCTTCTGTATAACTTGCCGCAGCGTATGAATGTGGTCTATGGTGCTAAAGCCTTTCCGGAACCCGGCTTGTTCGGCTTAACACACAAACTAAAACACGTAATTGATATTATTCCTAATTCCATAAAACTCTAATAAGAAACATTGCTGTCGCTTATACTGAAATACTGTCAAGCTTAAACGATTTATTATAACCGTATTTTTAACTATTGGCCCGAAACTTTTTCTTACATTGAACCTTTATGACTTTTGTGGCATGCCCCCGAGAAATGACACGGTTTCAAAACTACACCTTGTATATCTAACTAATAATATAAACTGATAATTTCTGCGTTTGCGTATGTTTGTTACCCAATTACGCTAAAACGGCTGAAGAGATCGAGATGAAATTTGAAACAGGGGTAGATTAAGGTTTGGAATACTTTTATATATAATAGGATACTTTTTATCGCAGGGGAACGTGGGCAAAATCGCGGGCAGAAGCTAGTTATAAAAACAACTACTTATTGCTTCATCAAAAGTTTTCCTAGTGTGACGTTTCAATGGTCACTACAATATCCTTGTCTTAGTAGAAAGATATGTTATCGGTTATCGGGCATTACGTGTTGCGATAATGATTAGTCCCTTTGTCATGATTCATACAATGTGAAGATGAAAACCGAACGTGCATACTGCATTGTAAATTATTTATACTCCACATATCAGTAAGTCAGCTCAGAAGTAAAGCTGATTTAAAAAACAACGTTGCCCCACACTAGGATTATCTCCTATGTGGAGTAGAAGTGTAGTATGAGTGCGTTTACAAACATACAATTTCACATACACACTCGGAACAACAATCCGTGCATCTCACAAAGAGTTGTTCCGTGCGGGAATCGAACCCACGCCACGTTGTGTGACAGGCAGTTGCCAATAGATCTCCAAAAGTGAATGTAATACGAGTGCAATAATACCACTAATAACACAGATTTTAATCACATCTTCATTTTTCGAGATCGAGATTAATGTAATTGGTATAAAGCTGTATTAACATAATAAAAAAATATATTTGCATAAATAAATTAATTAATCTAAGATCATATTTCCAGCAAAAGCCACAAGCTTTCATCTCACGCCGGCTTTGAACCCTGCCTATGCTTCGGAGATGCGCTAGTGTGGTGGGAATGGGAGGGGCTTGGCCCAGCTCGAGCGACCCCTAGGACCAGCCGAGACCCCGTGCTACCAAGACCCCCCAAACCGACGAGAACAAGCCATGACTTCGTGCGAACACACTTCCACAGATCTACGCAATGTGATTTCTGCAATAAAAAGGTGAGTTTTAACAAGTTAGTTATCATAAAATAAACTGTGTTAAAATTTTATGGGTAATCCAAACCGCCTTCTAAAAGTGGAGTTGGTAAATCTGGTTTTAATACCTTTACCTTTGTTCGTTAGGGGACATATCGGACGGCTGATGATGACACTAAAACTCCGGAGTATACAATTATATTAGGTGTTACACTCTAGTTACCTAAATTATATAGAACAACTGAAATCATGAAGTTGAAAATACATATTTTCTTCGTAGTACCAACAACTAACTAATATAATTTAGTTGCAAATCATTTTCTTTTTTATCACCACCTCCAGAAAGAACTTTACTACAAGTTTACTTAAAAAAAACGATATTTAAGACATACAAGGCATTCAAAAGAAAAATACATCTCTCAAATACATTGACCCTTAAAGAAGCTTAAAAATAAACTTTGTTTTCAAAACATTTCAATGGATGTTTTTCAAATATTTACATTAAAATCGTTTTATTTTTACTGGTTCTTTAAACTACAGAAAACTTTTGTATACGTCTTAAGAAAAATATTGTTTTGTTGAATGCGGTAGTTTTTGCAACTAGCAACATCGATATTTAAAAAAAAATGTGTTATTTTTTTTCCAGATCTGGTTAAAAGATGCGATGCAGTGTCGCAACTGTGGTCTCTCCTGCCATAAGAAGTGCGTCACAAAATGCCAGGAGTCTTCACCTTGCATTCCTAAGGATAGAGGTGAGATTAACTTAGGACCGAAAATAATAAACGACCTTAATCAAAATTCCATGGATCGATCCAAATTATTGACATTTCAAATAGTCGTAGTAGTAGTCGTCTCCTAATTTTTGTTTTATGTCCGTCTCGTATATTATTTTAAAACATTAGACACGTATTTTTTCTGTTCTTACAATATTAAATATAGTCGATATAGTGATGTAAAATATCATGTGACGTCACGATATTATGCTTCATTTTATAGGGTACTATGACGTAGCTAGCTCCCACTCTTAAACTTGAATTCGTTTTATCTATAATGGTTTACTTATGTCCGGAATTAGAAACAATACGTGTCTAATATTTTTTTATTATAGTATTGACGAACTAAACAAATTTTTGAAATAGGAACTAATTAATGTCTAAAATCTACCTCTATGTCATTTTAAAGTTTTTAAATTCAGAACGGTTAATATCGTGATTCACATAATTATTATTGTTACGGATCTACTGAGTGTGACGAGCATCTGAAATTATGTGTTTGTAAACGCACTTACGACACAGGAAAAAACATGAAGTGGGGCAACGTTTAAAAAAGCAAAAAATACTAAGTAGAAAGTTCCAAGAAATGAATGGCATTTTATTACGATAGTACATATTTTTCCTGTAGGTAGTAGGGGGGAACAGTGCGTGTGTGACGCATCAACGAGACGATGCGTATATATCCTGCAATTTACAGTTGCCGCATTGGATTTTCGAATTTACATCAAAGTAATAACGTTGAAAATCCAATAAACAAATTTGTCAGAAGGGAAGTAGCTTGACCTGCTACCTACTACCAGCACAATGCTATAAATCATACATAGTAAAGATGTTTGGCAGCGAATTTTGCAAGTAATTTCAACACTTTTGTGTTTTATATTCAAGATTGTTTATCTGTATTATTTTGTAATTACGTAAATATTACCTGCCGTGTACCTAAAATGTCCTTATTCATCGCTCTATTCATCAGTGAAACTAACTTCTATGAAAATCCGTTCAGTAGTTTTCGAGTTTATCACGCTTTGATAAACTTTTTTGGGGACTTTCGCTAATAATGCGTTTATATTTTTAGCCATTATTATTAATTTTGTTTGAATACTAAGAACTTTCGATATCATATTTCATTAATTGATTTTATGACCAACTTAATTTTAGTATTATTCCAACAATTAAAAAAAAAGTATGTTGTTTGACGCTAAAAAACGTTACGTCACAATACACAATCTCGTACAAAATTCATAGAAAACTGTCGTTTTGACAGTTCATAAAAAGTATTGAATTTGATTAGTTGGCAAGTACCCAATTGGGTACTTATTCCTTAAAAACTTGCTGGAAAAATACTAAAATTCAGTTAGTCATAAAATCAATTAATAAGAGTGTGATTATTTTTTAATATTTTATTGTATTGAACAGTCGAAATAATACATTTTGCATTAAGGCAAGTACCCAATTGCTCAACATCGTATCTATATCAATGTTTTATGACACTCACACTGTTTCCCCTACATCGTGTCATATTTATCAATGTCTGCCAAGTATTACTCACGCACTGGAAGTATTTCCTGAAACTTTGTGTATATGTTGTGCAACCTCGCAGTGAGGTCTAGGTCGTACTTCCCACGAGTAAAATTGTATACAACGTGGAATGTTGTTTTGTAGGGAAACTTTGCTTCGTCATTGTAGTAAGGATGTCATGTATAATAATAATAATAATAACCTGGCAACACTACAAACGTCAACTTGTGAAAATTTTACTCTGTTTTTATTTATTTATTATTTATTTATTATTTATTAACGCTTCATGCACAAAGTGTACACAAGGTGGACTTAATGCCGCAGGCATTTTCTCCCAGTCTGACCTTTGGGTGATGCAGAGAAGAGTGAATGGTAGGAGCAAGAAGCAAGCAACGATTTAATTGAGAAAATAGAAGATTATACTAACATATTTCAAATATGAACATAAATAAATATAATAATAATATATATACCTACACACGAGTACACTGCAATATACATACATACATACATACATACATACATAGACTCATAGCATATAATATAAATATGAACATAATTACTAATACTCTGTAAATAATTATTGTGATGATTCAGCCAACCTCTTCAAGAGAAGCTCACGTACTTTCTGCTTAAATGTTAAACGTGTCGACACCACCTGTTTTTATATAAATAATTTATATATATTCCATTCTGTTTTCGTTTCTTCTAATATTTATCAACAATAGAAAAACCTTTTTGTTTTATAATAATACGCCATAATTTTACAATACTGCAAACTAAGAAGAAAATATTAAAAATGAAAATGACAATGACAGAATCAATAACTTCAAAAATAAATATACTAAAGCAAAACGATTAACAATGTTGACGAGAGCCAGAAGCAAACAAGGCGCACCCCCACCACCTCCGGACTCGTCGCTCAGCTCCGCCTCGCCATCGCCGGAACCCCGCTCCGCTGGAACGCCGGTGACTGCAGTTGCGTCGAGCTCGAGCGACGACTATTTCTCCCCACCTACGTCGCCACCACCTGTACGTCGGCCGGGGAGAGGCCGGCCACCGACTGGCTTGGGAACCAGGGGCCATCAGGCCCTGGGACGGGTCCCCGCTACCGGTGGTTGTGTGCGGCGCATGAAATGGACTCAAAGTATAAACGAGAACGTCATGCGCGCATACTACGGTGCTACAGAGGGAGGAACTAACCTCACGGCGTACCGTGAAAGGATGCTGTCTGTGTTTCAGGTGCTTGAACCATCTGTCAACGTCTCGGCCCAACGACTCTCGGATCAAGTGCGGGTCATCCAACGTAATTGCAGATTGGATGAGACTACGCTTGATCGGCTACGCCTTGAAGCACTGCGCAACCGTGTCGTCCCCGCACCACCACAATTGGTGGCACGACACCTGTAGTGTCACAATGTGTGACATCGACCACTCCTATCGTTGGAGTGGAGGACGACAGGGTTGAACAAGTGAGTACTCAGTGCAATGAACGTCTGAGGAGTGCTTTGGAGGATGCGGTTCGTGAGTACAGACTTGCTCCTAGTAATTTAAGACCAAAGTTACCACGTTTGCCCATGTGTAGAAAAAATAGGGCGCTGGTGAGCGCCTTGGATTCGCTACTTAAAAATTATTTTGAGAGTAGCGAAAACCTCTATGATACACACTCAATCTTGTACTGTGGGGCAGTTGCTGCTTGTCGAGTGGCTAACGTCAGATTCCCAAATCTTGACGCAGCAGTCCGACCAAAACCAGCAGTACCTGCCTGGCAGTGCAGGATAGAGCGTCGTATCAGTGAGGCCAGGGTACTCATTGGCAAACTATCCTGCTTCAGGGAGGGCAATACTCGCCCTAGAGTGATGCGCTTTGTAAGACGTGCATTTGTGGGGACTGAAATCAGTCCTCATGAATACTTATCACGTGTTACAGAACGCATCGACTTCCTGAAGCAGAAAGTTTATGCATGGGCAAACCGTATCAGAAGGTACAAAAAAAGAGTGGAGCGCTATACTCAGAATCGCATGTTCCAAAGAGATCAGAGGTGGGTATACAGAGATTGGGAACGATCCAACCAAGATGTGGCTGACGGGAGGCGACCGGATGATGATGCCACTAACACATTTTGGCGCAACATCTGGTCGGTGCCTGTCAGCCACACAGAAGGTGACTGGATGTTTGATGTTAAGCGAAGGTGTGAGACTATACCAGAGATGGAGGAGGTAGTAATCACCTCCTCTGATGTAGCCAGTGCAGCCTGTTCGGTCCCGAATTGGAAATCACCGGGCCGGACGGACTGCACAATTTCTGGATTAAATGGCTCAAGAGTTCACACGTTCGCTTAGCATTACACTTCCAGGCAGCTTTGGAAACTGGGTCGTTACCACAATTTCTAACAACAGGAGTTACCCACTTGCTCCATAAATCAGGTAGTTCCACTGAGCCCAAAAATTATAGACCAATCACATGTCTACCAACGGTCTATAAACTTCTTACATCCATTTTGAGGACAAAAATAACAAAACATATTAAAAAAAATTCCATCATGTCGGTATCTCAAAATGGATGTAGGGAGGGGTCTCGTGGAACTAAGGAGCTACTCCTCATTGATATGGTTGTTAGCCAACAGGTTCGTCGGTCCCGAAAAGATTTGTCTACATGCTGGATAGACTATAAAAAAGCATATGATTCTGTGCCACATACATGGCTCCTGAAGGTGCTGGAGTTGTATAAAATACATGCAAGTTTACGCGCCTTCTTGGAGTCATGTATGAGGCAGTGGAGCACCGTGCTTTGCTATCCGGGATGTAGACAAATCCAAGGGAATGAAGAACCTGTAAGGATAGTACGAGGAATATTCCAGGGTGACAGCCTGAGCCCACTATGGTTCTGCTTGGCCTTGAATCCTCTAAGTACTCTACTGGAGGATTCAGGGCTAGGCTATCCTTTGCGGAGAAGGGGTCTAGTTATATCCCACTTACTTTACATGGATGACCTCAAGTTGTTTGCTCCAAACAAGAAACAACTGATGGAACTACTGAATATAACTGAAAAATTTAGTAGTTCCATCAGAATGGAGTTTGGAGTAGACAAGTGTGCGGTCATGCATGTAAAGCGAGGAGGATTGTGGAATCTGAGGGACTAGAACTCTCAGATTTCACAAAACTGAGATCACTCTCCGCAAACGATACATACAAGTACCTGGGTATGTCAGAAGGATTAGGCATTAATGGACCGGACATGAAGCAATCGCTACAGGAGCGCTTCTTTGGCCGCCTGAATAAGGTACTAAAAAGTTCCTTATCAGGCGGAAACAAGGTGCGAGCCTTTAACGGTTGGGTCATGCCAGTCCTAATGTATTCTTTTGGTATACTCAAGTGGACACAGACTGAACTTGACACCCTGGATAGACGAGTCCGGACCCTGCTGACTGCAAATCGCATGCATCACCCTCGTTCGTCGGTCAT